TTGAAGGACGAGATGGGGTTTGGGAAGTTTTGAAGGATGAGATGGGATTTGGGATGTTTTGAAGGATGACAGGGGTTTGGGATGGTTTTGGGGATGAGATGGGGTTTGGGGGCTGTTTTTGGGATGGTTTTGGGGCAAGAGGGGTTTTTGGGGTGTTTTGGGGTGGTTTTGAAGGATGAGATGGGGTTTGGGGTGGTTTGTGAAGGTTTTGAAGGACGAGATGGGGTTTGGGAGGTTTTGAAGGACAAGATGGGGTTTAGGGCTGGTTTGGGATGGGTTTGGGGGCAAGAGGAGGTTTTGGGGTGGTTTGGGATGGTTTTGAAGGATGAGATGGGGTTTGGGGGTTGATTTTGGGATGGTTTTGGGGGGCAAGAGGAGTTTTTGGGGTGGTTTTGAAGGATGAGAGGGGTTTGGGAGGTTTTGAAGGATGAGAGGGGATTTGGGATGTTTTGAAGGATGAGATGGGTTTAGGGCTGGTTTGAGATGGATTTGAAGGATGAGATGGGGTTTGGGGTGGTTTGGGGTGGTTTTGAAGGATGAGATGGAGTTTGGGATGGTTTTGAAGGATGAGATGGGGTTTGGGGTGGTTTGGGGTGGTTTTGAAGGACGAGATGGGTTTTGGGGGCTGGTTTTGGGAGGTTTTGAAGGATGAGATGGGGTTTAGGGCTGGTTTGGGATGGGTTTGGGGCAAGAGGGGTTTTTGGGGTGTTTTGGGGTGTTTTTGAAGGATGAGAGGGGTTTGGGAGGTTTTGAAGGACGAGATGGGGTTTAGGGCTGGTTTGAGATGGTTTTGGGGATGAGATGGGGGTTGGGGGCTGTTTTTGGGATGGTTTTGAAGGATGGGATGGGATTTGGGATGATTTTGAAGGATGGGAGGAATTTGGGAGGTTTTGAAGAATGAGATGGGGTTTGGGAGGTGGTTTGGGGATGGTTTTGAAGGATGAGATGGGGATTGGGGGCTGGTTTTGGGATGGTTTTGAAGGATGGGATGGGGTTTGGGGTGTTTTGGGGTGTTTTTGAAGGATGGGATGGGGTTTGGGATGTTTTGAAGGACGAGATGGGTTTGGGGCTGGTTTGGGAAGGTTTTGAAGGACAAGAAGGGATTTGGGAATAGTTTGGAAGGTTCTGGAGGATGAGATGGGTTTAGGGCTGGTTTGGGATGGTTTTGGGGATGAGATGGGTTTTGGGGTGATTTGGGGTGGTTTTGAAGGACGAGATGAGGTTTGGGGTGGTTTGGAAGCTTTTAAGGAGAAGATGGGAGCGGTTTTGGGAATCTTTTTAAGGACCAGGTGGCATTTGGGGTGATTTGGGGCTGTTTTTAAGGAGCAAATGGGATTTGGGTGTCCTGGGTCATTTTTAAGGGGAAGATGGGATTTTTGGGGGGTATTTTTAAGGAGAAGAGGGAATTTGTGGCTATTTTTAAGGATTAGATGAGATTTTTGGGCTATTTTTAAGTAGAAGATGGGACTTTTGGGGCTTATTTTTAAGGGGAAGATGGAATTTGTGGCTATTTTTAAGGAGTAGATGGGACTTTTGGGGGTATTTTTGAGGAACAGGTGGGACTTTTGGCTATTTTTAATGAGGAAAATGGGATTTTTTGGGCTATTTTTCAGGAGTAGGTGGGACTTTTGGTATTCAGACTAATTTTTTTTTTAAGGAGAAGGTGGAACTTTGAGCATTCTGGGTTGTTTTTTAGTACAAAACTCTCTTTTTTTTTTGGGGGGGGGGGAGTTTTTCAAAGGAGAAAACCCCAAACCCGGGAAGTTCGCTGCATCTCCCTTTCCTAAAGGCTCCAAAATTTGGGAGGGCAGGTCCTTCCCCCACTTTTTCCCACTCACCCCCCCATCCCGAGTGACCTGGAGAGGTTGGACCCCCCAGGGGGGGTGAAACCCGTCAAAAAAACCCAATAAAACCCCTAAAAAAAAGGATAAAAAAGCGAAAAAAAAGCAATTTTAGGTGGAAAAAAATCCGATTTTTCCCCCTTTTTCCTTCAGGTGCGATTCCTGGAGCAGCAGAACCGGGTGCTGGAGACCAAGTGGAAGCTGCTGCAGGAGCAGGGGGGGGCTGGGCCGGGGGGCAGGAGCCTGGACCCCTTTTTGAGACCTACATCGCGGGGCTCAGGAAGCAGCTGGACTGCCTGGGGGGGGAGAAAACCCACCTGGAATCCGAGCTCAGGAGCTTCCAGGACATGCTCGAGGACTTCAAGACCAAGTGGGTGCTGGGGGGGTGAAAAAAGGGGGAAAAACTCCTCGATTTTATCTCCTCCCCCCAAAAAAATTAAAAAAATTTGAAATATCGGCGATAATTGCCCGAATTTGGGTCGGTTTTTCACGACAGGGGGGAAATGTGGGAGTGGTTTGGGGTGGTGGGGGTTGGGAGAAGAGTTAGGGGGGTGGGTTGTGGGTTTTTTTGGAGGTGTTTCTGGGTGTTCCCTGACTTTCCTCAGCGTATTTTCCTTGGTATTCCTCGATATTCCTTGAATTTCCTCGATATTCCTTGAATTTCCTCGATATTCCTTGAATTTCCTTGATATTCCCAGAATTTCCTCGATATTCCTCAAAGTTCCTCAGTGTTCCTCAGTATTTCCCCAACATTTTTTGTATTTCCTGGAGGTTTCTCCCAATTTTCTCAGCATTCCTCAAATTTTCTCGGAGTTCTTTAAGTTGTCTCAGTGTTCCTTGAATTCTCTCAAAATTCCTCAAATTTTCTCAAATTTCTTCAAATATTTCTCCAATTTCTTCAGTATTTCCCAATATTTTTTTCGTATTTCCTCAATATTCCTCGAATTTCCTCAATATCCCTCAAATTTTCTCAAATTTCTTCAAATATTTGTCTGATTTCTTCAGTATTTCCCAATATTTTTTTCGTATTTCCTCAATATTCCTCAAATTTCCTTGATATTCCTCAATATTTCCCAATATTTTTCATATTTGCTCAATATTTCTCCAATTTTCTCATTATTCCTCGAATTTCCCCAATATTCCTCAAATTTTCTCAAATTTCTTCAAATATTTCTCTGATTTCTTCAGTATTTCCCAATATTTTTTTCGTATTTCCTCAATATTCCTCGAATTTCCTCAATATTCCTCAAATTTCTTTGATATTCCTCAATATTTCCCAGTATTTTTCATATTTCCTCAATATTTCTCCAATTTTCTCAGCATTCCTCGAATTTCCTCAATATTCCTCAAATTTCTTTGATATTCCTCAATATTTCCCAATATTTTTTATATTTCTCAATATTTCTCCAATTTCCTCAATATCCCTCAAGTTTTCTTGACTTTTTTTTCCAAATATTTCTCAAATCTCCTCAATATTTTGCATTATTTTTGTATTTCCTTGATATCAAAAAAAAAGTAGGAGAAAAAAAACAAGATTATTTTCCTACTGGCACTTCTCTTTTTAATATATATAAAATTTATTTTTATATTTATTTATTAATATTATTTTTATATATTAATATTATTGTTAATATTATTATATAATTGTTAATATTATTATTTATATATTAATAGTATATTTAATATACAACCAATATATATTTATATAAATAATATATATCAATGTATAAAAATAAATAATACACAATATATTAAATATATATAATTACATTATTTATATTAAATATATTATTGCCATAAATTTATTTTTATATATAATATATTATTTATATAGAATTTATTTATATATATTATATATTATTTATATAGAATTTGTTTTTATATAGAATTTATTTTTATAGAGAATTTATTTTTATATATAATTTATTTTTATATAGAATTTTTCCACATATATAATCTATTTTAATACAGAATTTATTCTGTATATATAATTTATTTCATACACATATATTTTATTTCATATAGGATTTATTTACACCTATAAAATTATATAATTATATCATCACATAATTTATAAAAATATCATTTCTTGTAAGCCCCTCAAACCAATCCAGTTGGAAAAGGAAAGAACAAACCCTGGAGAAACAAAAAAAAAAAAAGGAAAAGAATTCCCAAAATTCCCGAAATAATTCCCAAAAATTCCCGAAATAATTCCCAGAATTCCCAAAATAATTCCCGGAATTCCCGGCAGGTACGAGGAGGAGATCAACAAACGCACGGCGGCCGAGAACGACTTCGTGCTCCTCAAGAAGGTCCAGAACATTCCCAGCCCTGGGGGGAGGATCCAGAGGGGGCTGGAGAGGGATTTGGGATTTGGGATTTGGGATTTGGGATTTGGGATTTGGGATTTGGGATTTGGGATTTGGGATTTGGGATTTGGGATGGAGGGACAGCACAGAGGGAATGGATTCCTGCTGGGAAAACGGGGAGTTAGGTGGGATTTTGGGAAGGAATTCCTGGCTGGGAGGGTGAAGAGGGGCTGGGATGGAATTCCCAGAGGATTCCCCATCCCTGGGAGTGCCCAAATCCAGGCTGGATCCCCCTGGGATGGTGGGAGGGGTCCAAGGTGGGACTGGATGGGATTTAAGGTCCCTCCAACCCCACCCATTCCAGGATTCCACAATTCTGGAGCCAGGCTGGGAGAGCTGGGAATGTTCCCCTGGAGAGGGGAAGCATCCAGGGAGAGCTCAGAGCCTTTTCCAGGGCCTGGAGGAGCTCCAGGAGAGCTGGAGAGGGATTTGGGATGAGGGATGGAGGGACAGCACACAGGGAATGGATTCCTACTGGGAAAGGGGGAGTTAGGTGGGATATTGGGAAGGAATTCCTGGCTGGGAGGGTGGGAAAGGGCTGGGATGGAATTCCCAGAGAAGCTGTGGCTGTCCCTGCATCCCTGGGATCGTCCTGGATCCCGCTGGGATAGCGGGATTTGGGATTTCAGGGGGCGGGCACTGGGTTTAGGATCGCTCCCATCCCGGCATTCCCGATGAAATCCGATCCCTCCGGGGCCGGGTGGGATCATTCCCTCATTCCCTGATCCCATCCCAGGACGTGGATGGCGTTTACATGACCAAGGTGGAGCTCCAGGGAAAAGTGGATTCCCTGCTGGACGAGATCAACTTCCTCAAGTGCCTCTACGAGGCTGTGAGTGCTGCTGGGTTTGGGGATTTCTTGGGGATTATTTTGGAATTTTTTTATTTTTGGAGATTTTCAGTGATTTTAGGGGATTTTTGGGGATTTCTTGATTATTTGGAGATTTTTCGGATTTTTGGGCGATTTTTGGCGATTTTTGGGATTTTTGGGGATTTTTCGATTTTTGGGGATTTTGGGGATCTTGGAGATTGTTTTGGGATTTTTGAGATCTTCAGAGATCTTTGGGTGACCTTTCATCTTTCGAGACTCCTTAGGATCTTTTAGTGACTTTTGGACCTTTGGGACTTCTAGAGACTTTCTGGGGTCTTCTGGGGACTTTTGGATCTCAAGAGACTTTCTGAAGATCCCGTGATCTTAGGACCTTTAAGATTTTGGGGCACTTTTGGGACTTTTGGCCTTTTTGAGAGGCTTGAGGATTTTTGGGATTTTTGGGGATCTTTTGGGACTTTTTTATTTTGGGGGGGATTTTTGGGGGGATTTTTTTATTTTTTGGGGGGATTTTTTTTTTGGGGGGGGGATTTCTTGGGATTTTGGGGGTTTTTTTGGGGGCTTTTGGGATTTTATGGGGATTTTTGGGATTTTTAATTTTTGGGTATTTTGGGGTTTTGGGGGTTTTTGGGGTATTTTTGGGTATTTTTGGTTTTGGGGAATTTTGGGGATTTTTGGGATTTTTTGGGGGGATTTTTGGGATTTTTTTTTATTTTGGGGATTTTTGGGGATTTTTTGGGGGATTTTTGGGGCTATTTTGGGGCGATTTTTTTGGCATTCAAGAAAGGGGTACTGAGACACCCAGCGTGTGATTTCCACCCTCCCATCCCCTACAGGAGCTGTCCCAGATGCAGCAGCAGGTGTCGGACACCTCGGTGGTGCTTTCCATGGACAACAACCGGAGCCTGGACCTGGACGGGATCATCGCCGAGGTGAAGGCGCAGTACGAGGACATCGCCAACCGCAGCCGCGCCGAGGCCGAGGCCTGGTACCGGGGCAAGGTGGGTGTGGCCCGGCTTTTTTGGGGATAATCACACCCCAAACCATCCCCCCCAGGGTCTGGTACCGGGGCAAGGTGGGTGTGACACGGTTTTTTTGGGACATTCACACCCCAAACTCCCCCAGGGTCTGGTACCGGGGCAAGGTGGGTGTGGCCCGGCTTTTTGGGGGCATTCACCCCTAAACAGCCCCCCTGAGGGTCTGGGAGGGATGGGAGAGGCACCCATGGGATGATCAGAGAGCTCCAGGGGCTGGGACTGGGAGTTCAGAGCACTCTAGGACATGGGGCTGGGAGCTTAGAGTGCTCCAGGATTTGGGATTGGGAGCTCAGAGTGCTCCAGGAGCTGGGATTGGGAACACAGGACAATCCAGGAGCTGGGATTGGGATCTCAGAGCCCTCCAGGGAGCTGGGATTTGGAGCTCAGAGCACTCCAGGAACTGGAATTGGGATCTCAGAGCCCTCCAGGAGCTGGGATTGGGATCTCAAAGCCCTCCAGGAGCTGGAATTGGGATCTCAGAGCCCTCCAGGAACTGGAATTGAGGTCTCAGAGCCCTCCAGGAACTGGAATTGAGGTCTCAGAGCCTTCCAGGACCTGGAATTGGGATCTCAAAGTCCTCCAGGAGCTGGAATTGGGATCTCAGAGCCCTCCAGGAGCTGGAATTGAGGTCTCAAAGCCCACCAGGAACTGGAATTGAGGTCTCAGAGCCCTCCAGGAGCTGGGATTGGGATCTCAAAGCCCTCCAGGAGCTGGAATTGAGGTCTCAAAGCCCTCCAGGACCTGGAATTGGGATCTCAGAGCCCTCCAGGAGCTGGGATTGGGATCTCAGAGCCCTCCAGGAGCTGGAATTGGGATCTCAGACCTGGAATGGTGCCGGTGCCGAGCCCTCCAGCCCGGCCCGGCCGTGGCTGCCGGGGTCGTGCCGTGACACAGAGAAGGGGCTTTTGGGGGCCGGTCCAGCCCCCAAGAGTGCCCCTGGTTGTCCCCCCCAGTACGAGGAGCTGCAGGTGACGGCTGGCAAGCACGGGGACAGCCTGAGGGACACCAGGAGCGAGATCTCGGAGCTCAACCGGGTGATCCAGAGGATCCGCGCCGAGATCGACAGCGTCAAGAAGCAGGTTGGGATTCGGGGGAGGGTTTTCCGTGGAGAAACAGGGTGGGATGTGAGATCTTGGGGGCTTCCCTGAGAGGGAATAAAGGTGGGGGGAGGTGGGAGGGACCTGCAGGGGAAGGGACAGGGGTTGGAGTGGCACCGGAGCAGGTTGGGGATGATCCGTCCTTGGAAGGGCTTGGAGCAGCCTGGGATGGTGGGAGGGGTCCCTGCCCGGGGAAAAGTGGGATGGGATGAGTGTGTGTGTGAGCCTGGAGAAGGGAAGGAATCCAGGGAGACCTTGGAGACCCTTCCAGGGCCTGGAGGGACTCCAGGAGAGCTGGAGAGGGATTTGGGATGAGGGGATGGAGGGACAGCACACAGGGAGTGGCATCTTGCTTGCCAGAGGTGGGATATTAGGAGGATGGTTCCAGTTTGGGGAGGGGCTGGGATGGAATTCCCAGAGAAGCTGTGGCTGCCCTTGCATCCCTGGGAGTGCCCAAGGCCAGGCTGGATCCCCCTGGGATGGTGGGAGGGGTCCCTGTCCATGGATGGGATTTAAGGTCCCTCCAACCCAACCCATTCCAGGATTCCCTGATTCTGGAGCCAGGCTGGGAGAGCTGGGAATGTTCCCCTGGAGAAGGGAAGGATCCAGGGAGAGCTCAGAGCCCCTTCCAGGGTCTGAAGGGGCTCCAGGAGAGCTGGAGAGGGATTTGGGATGAGGGATGGAGGGACAGCACACAGGGAATGGCTTCCCGCTGGGAAAGGGAAGAGTTAGGTGGGATTTGGGAAGGAATTGCTGGCTGGGAGGGTGAGGAGAGGCTGGAATGGATTTCCCAGAGAAACCATGACCGCCCCTGCATCCCTGGGAGTGTCCAAATCCAGGCTGGACCCCCCTGGGACGGCGGGATTTGTCCTTTATCAGGTCCCTTCCAGCCCGACCCACCCGGCAATTCCACGACCGGGGGTGGATTGGGATGGGTGGGGGTGGGAAGGAATCTTCCCTTCATCTCCCCCTGCCCGCTGTGCCCGCAGTGCGAGTCCCTGCAGACGAGCATCGCCGACGCCGAGCAGCGCGGGGAGCTGGCCCTGAAGGACGCGCGGGACAAGCTGGGAGAGCTGGAGGGGGCCCTGCAAAAAGCCAAGCAGGACCTGGCCCGGCAGCTCCGCGAGTACCAGGAGCTCATGAACGTCAAGCTGGCCCTGGACGTGGAGATCGCGACCTACAGGAAGCTGCTGGAAGGGGAGGAGTGCAGGTAGGAGGGGAATTCCGTTTTGTTCCACCGATAAACCGGAGTGGAAAAACAAAACAAAACCAAAACCAAAAACCCCGCGCTCCACGTGGAGCTCCGGCCGCGTCCGCCACTCGGGGTGGTTTTTATTTTATCCCCTGCAGGATGTCCGGGGAGTGCCAGAGCTCCGTCAGCATCTGTGAGTGGCGTTCCCGGGGAATGCGGAGGGGCTGGGATCGCTGTTCCCGAGGGATTGAGAAGGGATGGGATCGCTGTTCCCGAGGGATTGAGAAGGGATGGGATCGCTGTTCTCGAGGGATTGAGAAGGGATGGGATCGGTGTTCCCGAGGGG